GATTCGACGTGTGTGAAGCGTGTCCCACCCTAGAGCTGCCACAAGAGCTGATGGTGATGTGGTGTATCTGTAGTCACGGTACACAAAGCGAGCCGCTGTTCTTTGTACTTGCTCTAGCATTTTTGTGACCGTGACGCTGTGTGGGTTCCAAGCCTCCGAGGCATACTCCAATTGGGGGCGCACTAAGGCTGTGTAGGCCCTGGACTTTACATCCCTGGTACAGGGTGAGAGAGTCCTGCGAAGAAGACCTAGAGTACGGCTTGCTTTATGCCGAATGGTTTGGCAGTGCTTGTTCCAACGGAGATCAGCAGCAACCGTTACTCCAAGGTACTTGTACTCTTTCACTCTCGGAATCAGTCCATTTGACAGGTGGTATTCTCGGATGCTGGGAGTACGCTTCCGTGTGATGGTGAGGATAGCGCACTTTTTCACGTTGAAGTCCATCATCCAGTTTGAAGACCACCTGGACAGCTGTTGGAGATCGTCCTTTAGGATTTGATGGTCCTCAGGGCATCGAATCTCACGATAGAGGGTGCTGTCATCTGCGAAGAGACGCATTGTGGACTGGATGTTGTCTTGGATATCGTTGATATACAACAGGAAGAGGGTAGGGCCGATGACGGATCCCTGGGGGACTCCAGATGTTACATCCCTCCATGTTGATTTGGATCCATCAACTACGACTGCCTGTTGTCTATCAGTGAGGAGAGACATTATCCACTGGAGTGAGTCACCACTTATTCCATAGTACTGAAGTTTGGTTGACAGGAGAAGGTGTGGTACTCGATCAAATGCCTTCTTGAAGTCCAAGAAGATTATATCAGCTTGGCTACGCTGCTGTAGGATGGAGGACCAGTCGTGGACGGCTGTTGTCAATTGAGTGGTTGTTGACAACCCTCGTCGGAAGCCATGCTGTGCATCAGTGAGGATATTATTCACTGCAACATGCTTCGACACATGGCTCAGGATGATATGTTCCATGACTTTGCAGCAAACGCAGGTAAGTGAGATCGGTCTGTAGTTGGAGGGGTCACACTTTTCTCCCGACTTGTGAATAGGGGTAACCAGTGCCTGTTTCCATTGGGCTGGAACGATGCCACTGTTGTAGCTTTGTTGAAACAGGAAGGACAGTGGAGAAGCAATCTCGCGAGCTACCAACTTTAGGAGCTTGGGTGGGAGTTCATCAGGTCCGCTGGCCTTTGAAGGGTCCAGTTGTTGGAGGCGTTTCTCGACACCAGTCCTGTGAACATGCAGGTGACCAATAGTTGGAAAAGGAGAAGGTCCTTTCTGTACAAGAGGTTGGAGCTGGTGAGGAGTAAAGACAGACTGGAAGTAGTCGTTCAGTGTCTCTGCCTTGTCTAATGCTGAGGCGCATAGTTTAGATGGAGTACGCAAGGTAGGAATACCAATGTTTTCAGAACGACATGTCTTGATGTAAGACCAGAAAGACTTTGGGTTGTCCTTAAGGCTTGCCCCGATGATGTTGTTGACGTACTCACAACGTGCTCTGTGCACATTCTTGGCAACTTGGTTCCTGAATTGTCGGTAGGCTGTCCAAGCTGTGGAGCAAGACTGGCTGTGTGCCTTCTTGAATAGGCTATCTCTCTTCCTCATCTGGTGTTTCAAAGGAGGAGTAATCCAAGGAAGATGTTTCCTTCCTTTGCTCATTTTGGAAGGAATAAGCTCAGACAAACACCTGTTCAAGAAGTTGACAATGATGGACCAGTTTGTCTCCACTGATCTTCTTTCTGGATCTGATTGGAGGAATTCCGTCGCAAATTCGGCTGCTGTATCTCTCAGTTGCTGTTCGTCAGCTTTGTGGAACTGGTAGATCTTCCTCAGGGGCTTGACAGAGATCTTTGGATTTGCAGCAAGAGTAAAAGTGACGATGTTGTGGTCTGATATCCCAGACTTTACGCACACATTCTCAACCAGGGCGGGATTCGACGTCACAACTAGATCCAGGATGTTGTTGGAAACCATAGAAAACATTTAAAAAATAGCAACTGGCTAGGCTTGCTGATCACCTACAATTTATTTAAGGGGTATGGCCCGGTAGGTTCGTCATTTACAGCCCACCATCTCACAGACAAGCATTGTCTACCTTAAATTATTTTGCAAAGCCTTACATATTGTAAAAAATACAAAAATGCAAAAGTCAATAAAAGAGTCCCTGATCGGGCGTGCCATAGACCTACAGTTCAAGACCTAATAACAAACACCTGAGAAAAAGGACATCTAAACATCATGCGAAATACTAACTTATCTATCAATATAACAATATAAACTGTGTCCACAAATATTCAATAATTATATGAAATTTTCGGGGTTATGTATTCCAGGGAAACCTATAATGGTAGCCCTATAAATAATAATGGATGACAGACCACTTGATTGGGCCGGGGTGCCGGTAGGCGAACATCTCCCAGACAGAAATTAACTACGTAAACGATCGAGCACCTTGACTACTTACAGAAAAAACAGAAAACCTGAAATTACGAAGAATATCAATATGTCAAAGATCATGGATCTTAAAATCAAAAGTAAATATACGAAAGACAATTCCTATATAATAACCGAAGCCTCATTATTCGTAAGTCACTATCTCCAGCAAGGCATATACCAATAGGCCTCTGAAAGGGATAGTCTACTCTTGATACAAAGCTAAACTCAGTCAGCCGGTCAGGCGTTACTCATGTACCTTTTCCTCGAAGAAATATCTTTACATTAACTTGTATGTGTGTCAAACGTGCAATGCAGTTGGACAAGAGGCATATAAAGCTAGTAACCTAATAAACCCCTAATATCGGCTTCATGACTGGAATCCTAAAATCCCAAAGGAATGGAATATATACGGAAAAGGACAGTAACAGGAATTTTAAAAATTAAGGAGAGTACTTATTCAAAATTCTTATCTACCTACATATAGAATACCCCCTTCCTCTCATTTTTCCTTCGTTTTTATCTTGTTTATTTTGAACAGCCAACGAAGGTTTGCATGATGCAAACACTGCCAGGTTGACTCACAGTGTGAGATTACGTGATCTTAACATCCAGGGTGAGACGCCTGGTGTCCCGTTATCACAGGGGAACATCCACGATGCGGGAGTCCATTAGGAGGCGGAAGAGGAGTGTTGCATTATTTCGCACAATTCGCACAAAGTTTTGGGAAATTTTGAAAATTTGCTGGATAGTGATTCTTTACAATTTTGATATTTTGGATGCTCCTGTGGATGTATTATAAGCACTAAAAAATTAGCCTCAAGAAAACTTCTGCATTCGAGAAAAATTGAATATCAAAACTTACCGGTGCTCCCGGAAAATTCTGATAAATTTTAAATTTTGGAAAAAAATTAAATAACGCTTACGGCCATACAATGGTAGCTGCGACCATGAAAATGTGATTTTTATTATGGTCTTCAAGGATTTGTGGGAAGGGGCAAGGCAAAACTATTTTTGTTGATTAAAAACTGACGTACATTTTGCACTGGGGGCAGGCTGTAGATTTCCTTTTTAAAATGCACTGCCCGAAAGGGCCAATGCTATCTGTAATTTCTTTTCTTATGCTATTTTTTCTTTCTTTTTCTATTTAGAATATTTTGTCGTAAGATGTCTTCTCCTCGAGTCCTCGAAAACTACATTATTTTGCTAATTTCTAAATAATAAAAAGGTTAGGGCTTTCAGGTTATTCTGTTAAAATACGTTTCAGCATTTTGTGGAAAAGTTTTTCTGAGGGTTTGGGGCAAAATAGCTAAGAGCATCTGATGGAGAAAATTTCCTCCATGTTGGAGGAAAATGAAAGTATAATATATTTTCTTTTGGGTATCTGGATGTCCCAAATACTTCTTCAGGCGCTGCCACGGTATATTATTGTTTTAGCCATAAATTTCGTAATAAACTGGAGAGAGAGCGACTTGTTGTAGTATTTTAGGGGAAGATCTGTAAACATCGGGTTTTCACACTTTGTGCTCCTGAATATCTAGATATAGTAGTTACCCCCATTTTAAAAGTAAACCACAGTGTTCTAAATTAGTTGGACGTAGAAACAATATTATGCCTGAGCATGTGTTCTATAAAACTATTATTAAATTGAGTAAACCATAATTATTTAGCACTCTAGCAGAACAAGACAATGTCAACCTACACCTGGATGAAGAATGGCAATATGCAGATTAAATAATTTGCCAAACGGTATTCATGCAAGACTGGGTAATTCATTGATTGAACCACTACACCATGACTTGACATGACTATACCAGAGATTTGAACATCTTGTCAAAGGACTGTAGAGCCAGGCAAGGATTCAAATGTCTCAACCTCTCCATTGAAGTTGAGCGACTGAACCACTACACCACGGCGTCGCGATCAGTCAAACACTGTGGTTTACCTTTAAAGCTCAACTGAGTGGGATAAAACTTTGTCATTAGTGTGTCTATTGTCTCTCATGAATAAATCATAGGAACAAAAGTAATAATAGTAATAATGAAGCATGATTGCAATGCCAGCAATAATACTGTGGATAACATGAATACAAAATAACAAAAGTAAAGAAAAAATAAAACAAAACATATTGCTCACATGGGTAAAATAAATGTATAACTACCCCTGTTCCCCCACCGCCACCCCTCCCTCTACCCCATACTCTACCCCTGTTGCCCCACCGTCACCCCTCCCTCTACCCCATACTCTACCCCTTTTCCCCCACCACCACCTCCCTCTACACCATACTCTACCCCTGTTCCCCCACCCCCACCCCTCCCTCTACCCCATACTCTACCCCTGTTCCCCCACCGTCACCCCTCCCTCTACCCCATACTCTACCCCTGTTCCCCCACCACCACCTCCCTCTACACCATACTCTACCCCTGTTCCCCCACCGCCACTCCTCCCTCTACCCTTACTCTACCTCTGTTCCCCCACCCCACCCCTCCCTCTACCCTATACTCTACCCCTGTTCCCCCACCGCCACCCCTCCCTCTACCCTTACTCTACCCTCTCCTCCTCCTCCTCCTCCTCCGTCTCCTCGTCAGCTGTCCAGTGCAGTCTCCAGCCATCGTCTTGCTGTCCCCATTCTCCTTCCTCATCCCTCTGCATAACCTCGATCATCTCAAACTCCTCCACATTCACCTCCTCCTCCTCCTCATCCTCAGTCGCCTCGCTAGCCGTCCAATGAAGTCTCCAGTCATCGTTGGGGTGCCCCCACTCTCCTTCTTCTTCTCCATCCATCCGCTGAACCTCGATCTCCTCGAACTCGATCTCCTCGAACTCCTCAGCCCCCAGCACCTCCTCTACGGCCTCAACCTCCAGCACCTCCTCTGCCTCAGCCTCAAGCACCTCTTCTACGGCCTGATCAGCATCCAGCGCCGCCAGCGCCTCAAGCGCCGCTTATTCAGCTTCCTCTTCTTCTAAATACAAGGTCATGTTATCTGGAAAAAAAGTCCAGTCCGAATAAATGAAAGCACAGGATTTATGTGAATTCAGTCAAACAAGGCCCGGATCCCTTACAACTTTTTAGATATATTTTCCCGCATACGTAATCTAAAAACGATCCGGACATTGAAGACCGCGATGGAAAAGAGTGCGAAGAAACGAAATGAATTGGGATTATTAATCATTATCAGTTATTTTTTGTTCAATATTAAATCACGCGGGGCGTCGAAATTTCGTTTAAGGAATTAAATATGGTAGTTGAATTCATGTTAATGATATGCCTTACCAATAGCAACTTGTTTCTGCAAAGTCATGCGTTATGGTGTCATCATTATGAAAGCCAAGAATGAACTTTTATTTGATGTATTCTTTTAATCATTAATGATCATAACTCATTCTCTGTCTTTTCAAAATCATTATGAACCAAATGTAGCAGCTCTCGACTTGTTTTTGATAATTAATGTTTTTTCTGCCTGAGCTCCTACTGTCTTAATACAGCCATGCATGATTTAGTAATCATTATTTTGATGCCGTACGCTAGAAGAGAAAAATTATCTTTTCAATAATGTATGCATTAAATGAAAACATTATTTGCGTTTATTTTTTGATAAAATTGGGTTACCCTTTTAACCCTTACTGCACTGGGCTTTTTTTAAACATCTGACTGGGGAGGGGGGGGGGGGCTGGGGCTCCCTCCCTTTCTATGATCTCGGCCGTCGAATGTCCGATGAACACGAAAATTTGCATGTTTGAAGATATTCACGTAAGAAACAAGATGGTATAATTCGTTTTTCCTAATATGCAAGTTGTTGTCATTAAACCCTAATTGATTATGCAAATGCTAATGTCATACATTTTACAGAAAAAAATGTACATATTTGTCTCAAGACTTTCGAAGAATCTTGAAAATGCATTGAATAAACGTTTCCTTCATTTCAAATTCATGACATTTCATCATTTTTATATTTGGAAATGCAAAGGTTAATTTGCATAAATTATGAATACGCATATTTCATCATTTTATTTTCTTATGTATTTTAATGTTTTATATTTCTTATTATATCTATTGTTTTATTTCTAATGTATTTGCTCGGGAACATATCAAAGCAAGTTGATATCAATTTATATCTCACACTTGTTTGAAGAAATCTAAACATGTGTTCACATTTTTGCTTGTACATGAATATGCAATTATAGCACTCTTTGATGACATGCGCATACTAATAATGTGACACCTTACAAGTATATCTGATTTCGACGAAAATGGTTTCAACATAATGAGTAGGACCTCGGTGCGTAGTTGCGTAGAAACGACAATTTAAAATTCCATGGGGGGGGGGGGGGGCTCCTAGGCCCCAGTACAGTAAGGGTTAATACAGGGACAGCATAGATATACACTTATGATACGCACATAAACAGAACCCTGTTCCTTATATTTTGACGTTGACAAATCATGGAATGAAATTTTCTCCAGCTATCTCATGTAAAAGATACATGGAGATATTTCCCATAATATTGAATTTAATGTCTCCAATAGCCCAACACTAATTTCATTTAAATTTTGATAAAAAAATGAACATGGTATGGAGTAAGCAGCAGGCCAAGATGGATCAAACACTATATTTCAGCGGCTTTCAAGGTGTGTTAACTTTGCATAATAGACCATGCGAAGCCGTAATGAAAAATGGCTCCAAATTGTTATATTTTTTATTTTGAAATAATAGTCATACTATTGAATGGCTTATTTTGGCCAATACATGAAATATCGAACTCAATATTCAGAAATATTTCGTCCAATATTTCCTTGTATTGACTCTAAAGCCATCCAATATTTTATTCTTCTTGTATCCATGATTGCAGGATATTTTTAATGTGAGGAAACCCAAAGAAGAAAAAATGTATCATGCGGATAAAGTCTTTCAATTCCACAAGTGGAGAAAGATATAATAAACAAATTATAAACTTACGATGCTGGGTACACTTTGGAGCGTCGCCCGCGAATCGGGAATCTCTGCTACATCTCGAACCTTTCCTTGTGATGGATGTACATTGCGGTATCCTGTTCAGGTACAGGTTGACCAGCCTGTATGAGAACAACAATATCTTAATATCAGCTTGTCATTTATGGAATGACTATATAATATAGGCCCTTAAAACCTTAGTGGTTTGGGAGGTGCAAACGACCCCAACATAATTGTACAGGCATATAACACGTTTGGGGGTGGCGGGTCGTTATTAGTTGATTTCTACATCGTCCATGGTCGCATTTACGCAATACTCCATTCTGTTTTAAACAGACTAGATTTTATCACAATATCTGCTTTATCTGTGTAAAATCTAAACATTATTTATTGGTTTTTAGCGGGCGAGGGGACAATTTTTGCCCCTATTCCCTGAAGAAGAAAAAATAATCACGAAAAAAAAACTAGTCATCATTCATCATTACTGCAGGCGGATGGTAATTTTTCTCACATATTTTGAGTTTGTCGATAAATTCAATCTTCGTTGTAATTTTCTATAATTTTATTAAATTATAGCGGTCATATCTTTGAAATGGAAGCATATTTGCTAAGACCCATCTAAGAAAAACACAAAGAAGGAATTATTGCAGCATGAGCAAAGTTACTAAAGTAGGTAAACAATTTCCCAAAAGAAATGGAAAGGTATTCTTTCAAAGTCAGTTGTTATTAAATTGGAATCAAATTTACATCATTCCTTGTAAATGTTATTTTTTCGACAAAAATAAGGTATTTTCAGTTTAAAATAACTCACAATAAGTGTCAATAAGTATTCAAAGGCTGTTGGTATATCCCATTCTGATTTATGTACGTTTTGTTCAGAAGATGAGAAATATACCCTGAAAATGACATTAAGTTAACAATCTATGCGCAAATAGATGTATATACAATTTATCTAAATACTAGAATCTTGTTTTTCATTGTACCTTTCTTTGTCAAATGTATTGATCCATCAGTTTTGTTCATTTGCTTATACTGTTTTATGCTTTGAGACAAAATGAATAAAGACTTGAGTCGAAGAAAAAAAATTGAGAGATTTAGTACAAGATAGAAAAGTCATTTTGTTGCTCTTAAAGATAATGTGTCCCTTTTGCGGCCAAAAACAAATTATGTAGAACTTTGCAGGTATTATGAATATGTCACGTGCGTCCTATATGTGAAATGTATACGTTAGCAGTGTCCTAGTATTCAAATAATGCGAGAAAACCCGTTTTAGTTTCTAGACTTGACTTTCAGACACTATTGAGTGACTGACTGACTTCTGTTTTTCTTTGGTAATAACATACATAAAATGAGCTGTATATATGAAGGATACATGAGCATTTTCTGTACACCTCATTAACCAACTTCTTTTAATGGCCAAAATTAAGCTGATTGAATATTTGCGCAGCACGAAACGTACGACCATACGGTACAAGGGTCTAAAACCATTTTTTTTTTTTTCATAATTTTCAAAACTGTTGCGAAAATTCCTAACGGTCGATATAATTCCACATATCAAAAAGGCAATTGCCAGTTCTAATCTTTTCAGGTGATTTTTCAGTACCTCTTGTTTGTGATGGGATTCACACAAAATTATATTTTCAGCCTGCAAAGGGAAAACACACCACCTGAGTGTGTACTATCATTTTGTTGGTATTTATGAAGAGCAAAGGAAACATGCACAGGGTTGGTATTCAGGGAAATTTCAGATATGAAAGGTGTTAGTATTGGGGGTGTAAATATTAATAATTTTCGTTATGCTGATGACACTATACTTTGCGCAGAGAATGAAGCAGATTTAAAACATGTATTGGATATTGTAAAAGTCAAAAGTGAAGAGCTTGGTCTAAGCATGAATGTCAAGAAAACTAAGTCAATCATTTTTAGTAAAACAGAGAATAAGCCTAGAATATGTTTGAAACTCGATGGACATATCATTGAGCAAGTCAGTAATTACATCTACTTAGGACAAAATATCACAGATGATGATAGATGCGAAGCAGAAATAAAAAGAAGAATAGAAATTGCTAGGAATACATTTCTGGCAATGAAAGGATTATTCACAAATAGAAAGGTGAAATTTGCGCTTAGGTTGAGACTAGTAAACTGTTATGTATGGTCTGTTCTATTGTATGGAGCAGAAATATGGACGTAAACAAGGCCATGGCAAATAGAATAACATCTTTTGAAATGTGGATCTACAGATGAATGATGAAAATATCCTGGAAACGAATGAAAACCAACAAAGAGATATTGCACATGGCAGGGCGTAAACAAATTGCACTAATAGGATTAGTTAACCCTAAAAATGCCGGGCTATTTGAGGTCTTAGTACGGCCGGGGGGGGGGGGGTGTTACACCCACAAATGTAATAACACTTTACCCACAAATGTAATAACACCCACAAATGTAATAACACTTTACCCACAAATGTAATAATATCACCCACAAATGTAATAACCACTTTACCCACAAATGTAATAATTTTGAATCACCCATAAATGGCCCTGTTACACCCACAAATGTAATAACGCCCACAAATGTAATAACGCCCACAAAATAATGTAATAACACTTTACCCACAAATGTAATAACACCCACAAATGTAATAACACCGTACCCACAAATGTAATAATTTCACCCACAAATGTAATAACCACTTTACCCACAAATGTAATAATTTTGAATCACCCACAAATGTAATAATGACTTTACCCACAAATGTAATAAATTTGAAGGGATATTTTGTCGAATTTGTTCAAAACTAAAACCCTGTAATAAAGAATGGGTATAGCGCGCAGTCTTTACTCCAGACCCGGTTATTTCAAAAATTTAAAAAATCTTCAAAACTAAGACCCCATAATCCTTTTCCTGTGGATTAACTTCTTCTTCTTCTTGATTTGATTTTGTTTGGCAATCAGTCACAGTTGACTATTTTTGCCACACACTATTTTATGAATTATTTATATATATACATTATATGTACAATTTCATGTCATAAATGACTATTTTTAGGATTCTTTCTCTTTCCATCCCCTTTCCTTCCGCTTATTTTCTTTTTAGGCCCTATATATATTTGTTTTTTTGTTTTTTTAGGGAAAATTCAATAAATTAATAAATTTGGAAAGAGATGGCCTAGCCTAGCGAGTTGTACGTACTTGTGTTTTCGCGCACGTACGTGCGCGTTCACATACCACCTCTCTATGCACATGTGTACTTCGCACGTACATGTACCCCCACCCATGAGTATTGAGCGTAGTCTTTCCTCCAGACCCGATTATTCAAAAGTTAAAAAAACAAAAAACAAAACAAAACAAAACAAAACAACAAAAAAAACTTTTAAACTAAGACCCCTCCATCTTCCAAATTAAGACCCGGTAATAAAGCATGGGATTAGAGCGTAGTCTTTACTTCAGACTCGGTTATTTAAAAAAAAAAATCTTCAAACTAAGACCTCACCATCTCATTCCTGTGGAATAACATGGGTATAGAGCGTAGTCTTTCCTCCAGACCCGGTTATTTCAAAAGAAATAGAAATTTAAACAAATCTTCGAAACTAAGACCCACCATCTTATTCCTCTTTTTTTCATTTAAAAATAAATTACATTATAACATATGTGGATACATCACGTCACAAATAAATGATTGGTGGGCGGTCACACGAACTGACGAATCAGTCAAAATGGTCCATATATATAACACACAGAGGAGGGACCGATTCGATGGTTCGTTGACCGTCGACGATTTTTTGTAATCATGTAAATATTCTAACGCCCACAAATATCCTGGAATTCAATGTTCGTAGAAAAAAAAGTAATCGAATAAGTGACCTTAAATGTATTTAAATATTGACGCTGATTGTTTTATGCATGTGATTATGAAATATGTTCACGATATGTAACATATATATATATATATATATATATATATATGTACGCTATTAGTGACATTGAAACGTTGGATTGCGATGTTATATTTTCATGAGTGCGTGAATGAATTACCTTTCTTCATGTGATGAACGTATCAATTACTTATACTGAAGACTACCAATTGGTACGCGGTACACGGTACACAGTGTGAATTCATGAGAACGACATTTATTCAAAGGCAAATACAAACAAAACACATTATATTACAGTTTTCCCTACTTCTGAAACACTCAAGCAGCTATATAAACAAGAACAAGTCTGAAATGATAATCGGTTAACAAGCAAATAACAACGCATACTTTCATATAACAAATCACTTGATATGACTCTACAACTATGGAAGCACTGAAAAATAATTATCTTTATTATAAGTTCGAATAGAATACAGATCAATTTAATTCCGTTCTCTTGGGAGCCAAATTATACACATTGACACAGTTTAGACAGAAATAATCATATAAAGGAGTAACAGACCCATATCACATATCTAGAGAGATGTACACCCACTTGAATTAACAAGTGAACATTTGAAATGCCCACAAAAATACCTTGTTTATTAATGTTATCACGAAAAGTGTACTTAACCTGTCGGTATACAGTGAAAATACACGACAATAAACAGCTCTATGTGTATATGATTAGTGTTCGTATGATTGTGACGTGTTGTATCCACATATGTAATAATGTAATTTATTTTTTAATGAAAAAAAGAGGAATAAGATGGTGGGTCTTAGTTTCGAAGATTTGTTTAAATTTATATTTCTTTTGAAATAACCGGGTCTGGAGGAAAGACTACACCCTATAACCATGTTATTCCACAGGAATGAGATGGTGAGGTCTTAGTTTGAAGATTTTTTTTTAAATAACCGAGTCTGAAGTAAAGACTACGCTCTAAACCCATGCTTTATTACCGGGTCTTAGTTTGGAAGATGGTGGGGTCTTAGTTTAAAAGGTTTTTTTTTTTTTTTTACTTTTGAATAACCGGGTCTGGAGGAAAGACTACGCTCGATTCTCATGTTATTCCACAGGAAAAGGATTATGGGGTCTTAGTTTTGAAGATTTTTAAAATTTTTGAAATAACCGGGTCTGGAGTAAAGACTGCGCGCTATACCCATGCTTTATTACAGGGTTTTAGTTTTGAACAAATTCGACAAAATATCCCTTCAAATTTATTACATTTGTTGGTAAGGTCATTATTACATTTGTGGGTGATTCAAAATTATTACATTTGTGGGTGAAATTATTACATTTGTGGGTAAAGTGTTATTACATTTGTGGGTGTTATTACATTTGTGGGTAAAGTGTTATTACATTTGTGGGCGTTATTACATTTGTGGGTGTAACAGGGGGGTTATGGCCCCCTTAAGATCTCGGCCGTGAAATGTGCATGCGTGTCAAGTGAAGTGTATAGAATAATATGATAATTCAAATTTTCTGGAAAATTCACTCATTTGCATATTTATGGTAATCTATGCAAATATGGTCATAAAATTACATTTTTACCCATAAATCATACATTATTCATATTTAACAATTCTTTTTCACTTCATATATTCATTACACCATTTGGAATAACAATACGATAACAAAATTATGAAGAGCTAGCTTATTCCTTATGTTATCTCTTGTTTTCATATTTCTTATGTATTTAATTGTTTTTATCAACTTATGTATTTTATTGTTTTTGTTGTTTTATTTCATTTCTTACTACATTTCAACTATTTTGACTCCCAAAACAACCACCTAAACTTTAAACAAGACCTAATAACCAATGTTTGATCTATTTTTTTAAGGAAAAATGACATTTCCATATGTTTTGTACACAAATCACAAAAATGAGCGATTTTCGGGCTGACATGCAAAGACAAAATGTCACATGACCTTGTAACTGTAGGTCCGGTTTTCAAAAGAAATCTTTTAAAAGTTGCGCAAGACTCGAAAGAAAAAAAGTCAGCGAGCGGCGGGGCGCCATCCATATGCGTTCCAGAACAATCAGGAAAATCGTGGAGGGGGGGGGGCATAATGGCCCCCGGCCTTATAGGGTTAAGGAGAGAAAATAAAACACTTTGGTCATGTTAACCTTTTGAAAATATGTCTTGTTTATATCTAAGGCTTTACCCACTTTACTTAACCGATCATACGCTTTTATTTCCACATTGTGAAATCCCCAAAGGAGTGGGTAATCTGTCATGGTAGGCAAGTCATAGTTAGAAGTGTATTCTCTAGTTTTCAGACCTACATTAATTTTGAGGTAAGTTCTGTCTTCAAATGTGTAAACTGAATAGTTTAAACATATTTTTTAACGTTTGGAATGCTGAAGTTTTGTAATTTTGATGTGCTGACGCCTAAAACATCGGACACAAATTTCATTACATCGTATTTTTCTAAGAATAATATATTGGTGTATTTTTATAAACTATCAAATGAAAATATCCGGGGGATACCCATCAGGAACAAAACTGATTCACCGGTCATGTAATAAAATACTCACAATTATATTTTACAAGTACTTCTATTGTATAATCTACACAAATTTGGAAGTTTATTGCATCTCTTACTTCCTGGAATCATTTTCAATCTTTTTTTAATTCCAGCCTGAGGACCTATTTTTCGCCGGGCGTCCTTGATCACGCCATCATCGGCTGGAAGCTAGTAAGTAGGGAGAGGTAGCGTTGGTGTGGTGGAGATCAAAATGAAATAGGCCAGATTCTGGACTACGTAGTTGGCGGATAAAGTTATGACTGTCTTGTCGTTGGTTTCTAGGAACGGACCCCCGGTCTATTGCCATGAATGATCTAGAAGAAGTACCGGTAAACAGCGATGGTGGACGAAGGCGTACAATACTTTGCCTCCTTCCTTCCCCTGTTAGCCGGTCATATCAATTTCCATGTAGGTCTACGGAGGAGGATTAAGGTCTTGATCTTCCCTCGCAATTCGTCGTTCTTTCGGGTTGTAATGATCAATGAATTGAATTTCAGATCACTTTTGAAACGCCCTCCCTGATGAAGTGTTATTTAATTTGGGCTTGGAAAATAATACAATATTCAGATTTTCTGGATCGGGCCCGTAGAAATGGGAAATACAGTGCGAGTCCAAAAAAAATTACACCCAGAAAATTGCTAATTATTTTACAAATCATCTATGAACAGTAAATTATTATACATCTTATGAAAGAGTGTTTTATCCCGAATCATTTAGTATCATTTTGTGTGGTGTGTGTCCACGTTTGGGTGAACAGGAGGCATTGTTTGCAAGAGTGTAAAAATCGACTTGCGCCGAAGTGATGCCTACAGTATGTGATATGCTGGATTAAAGTGAGAGAATGAATTCAATGTATCAAATGAGATGCATTGCATATGCTTTTTTGCAGAAGGAAAGTCACAATCACACACACGCATGTGTGGCTTGATTACTTATGTTAGGGATTTTATTTTTTCTGCACTGACCGAATTAATACCCAAATCCCAATTGTTTTATTCCAACATCACAAAAGCAACGTTGACGCAAGTCGATTTCTGCACTCTCGCAAACAATGCCCCCTGTTTATCCAAGCGTGAACACATACCCCACAAAATGATACTAAATGATTCGGGATAAAACACTCTTTCATAAGATATTTAATAATTTACTGTTCAAAGATGATTTATAAAATAATTAGCAATTTTCCAGGTGTAAACTTTTTTTTACTCACACTGTAGATGTTACCCTTGTTGATTTAGGAGGATACTAGTACAACAGGTCGTTAGTACAATATTACTAGCCTTTCAGTGCCACCCCTCCCATCTAATAAACAAGACTGATTCACCGTTCATGAAACGAATAATCACAAATATATTTTACAAATAATTGTATAATTTAATCTACACAAATTAAGTATACTGCATATCTTATTCCCTGTTACTATGTTTAATCTTACTTTTATTCCTAATTCATTTAAATAATTGCAGTTTTCTTAAAATTACTTTTTGTTTAATCCGGTAGAATTGCGACTAAGGTTATTTCTTGGCTCCTCTTCTTGCCGATAGTATCGATTTCACGAGATATCTAGCTAGTAAGCACGTCATGAAACAGTTTCGGAAGATCAGCAACATCTCCGTAGTTGCTTGATAAAGTTATGACTGTCTTGTCCAGTGGCGTATACGCAGGATTTTTTCAAGGGGAGGGTGGGTTTAAAATCGGGGTAAGAGGACACATTTTTTTTTTTTTTTTGGTCTCGAAATTTGAAAATTTGACATTTTGCTCCGTTGGGGGGGGGGGGTAAGGTCAGCTTTTTTAGGTCAACCATGGGATTTTTTTTTTTTTTTTTTTTTTTTTAATAAAAAAAAAGAACAAAAAAAAAAATCCAAAAGGGGGGGGGGGGGGTTTAGAGAAATTTAGGGGGGTTTACACACAAAAAATTACCAAAGGGGGGGGGGGTTTAACCCCCCGAACCCTCCCCCTGTGTACGCGCCTGGTCTTGTCGTTGGTTTCGAGAAACGGGCCCCTGTGTTTTTTTTTTTCATCTGCGAGCATCACTTTCCTATCGTGGAAAAATGCGCTCATCTGAATAGGTCGAATAGGGAATAGCTTCATAGTAGTTTCTCCCTCCATCCCCTCCCCCCTAAACAAAAAAAATGAAAGAAAAACAGAAAAACATGAAGGAATTAAACTAAATGAAAAGCGGGAAGAAACTTACTCTTCGTACGTCAGCTCGGCCTTGTGTTGCCAACACGTTTTTGTTGCATGGCGACTTTTTCTCTTACATCGTTCTTGTCCTATGGCTTTCGTCCGACATACGCACCTGTGCCGCACTGTACCGTACATCGACGGGTGCTCAAAGTCAATGTTCATCTACGTAATGAAAGCAGAGCAAAGAAAACACACACAAATAAATGGCTGAGATATTTAATCAAATTTGAATGGAAAATTGAATTGAAAATAACTTATTTCCATCATCACAGTCAAAGACCAAACAGATGGATAAAATGGATGACAAAGATAAAATGATTGTTTTACAGAGTAAACGGTATTACAAAAATACATATAAAGTACATATCATGTAACCATATTACAAATAGAAAATGAAATGCTATGCTGATAAGGCTTGATCATCCAATGCACACCATGCGCATTGGAGATAAAGATATTGGTTAGGCCTACAAATAAAGAAAACTGGATTGATTTTGATCGAATATCAAATTGTATTTCCCAAGAACGGGTCTTAAAACCTATCGGGGTTCTGGTGTTTGGACCGAATCCCACTACCCTTTTATTAAAAATCCATTGGACTTTCCTTAAGAATCAAACTAACACATCATATGTCATTTTAAAGAGTAATTAAGATTATATCTAATGACACGGATGACTGAGCAACAGCTATTTCAAAGAGGAATTGTCAAAATTCTTTTCTACCAAGTTTAGAATGGAGAAATATATATTTTGTTAAAGCCATTACGCATTGTTACTTCAGTCCAAAAACCATTGCTGATTTTACATTCACATTGATTTTGTACATTTGAATAGAAAAGGTGAACCTGTCAACTCAGAAAAAAAAATGAGGGAAAAAAAGACATTTTCTTTATTATGCTGACACAATATTGGCTTTTCTCATATCACCTTTTAAGGTAAGCCATGTCATTTCATCCAAAATGGATAAAGTTTACTTGGGACACTATCCTTTTTCCAAGAAATTTTACTGTCAGCATCTTTGTTAGTAATCATAATGTGTTCTTTCGCGCATTTAATAAATCTTTGAGGTTAGTAAACCTCTAAGCTTTCATGTGCTGCTCGAAACAAATAACTTATAAACCTTACACACATCAGAAATGTGAAATGTTGCAATGGATAAATGAACGGAAAGATCTTAGATATCAAGAGACGCGAAGATATGCTGAAATAATTCAAGATTGTCCCGGTGAATGAAATAAGGTCATTTGAAAGCTTAGGTAAAATGGATCACTTTAAAGAGAAGGTTGAGTTCTGGGAAGAGGTGAAAAATAATTTGTGAGTGTTACTCATTCTTATTATGCAAGTGTGGAAGAACATCAGATAAGACATGTTCCCTGAAAATCATGGCTCTTCAAATGCCTTCATATTCTAAATATGCATGTAACATCGTAAAAATCGGGGGCTGGCTTTTTACGCCACGTGTTCGTGTAGTCCCATATACATCTTTCTGTGCAAGTATTTGTAACTTTACCAAGACTTGGCCAAATTTCTTATCATTTTGATGATTCCAGAACCTTGCAATACACACAAATTCTTATATGCTAGATGATCAACCTTTTCTGGTCGGTTCCACACGGTTTCTTTCACAATGCAATCGCAAGACCAGAACTCAACTTTATCTTTAAATGATGAAGCGCTACAGTTTGAAGGAGAATTTCATTATTAAAAGGATTTACAAGACCAAAGTAAATATGCACGACGCGTTACTTTGGCATATCCCACATTTAGTGCATGATCTCAAACGTTAGACAAGGAGATTTGACAGCACTTTTTAAAAGACACTGGTGATCGATCAACCGTAACAGGAAAAAATCCCAATAGTGCAGGGGCAGAAAACAAATTACTCATACCTTGAAATACATCCACGATCACATTGATTGTGAATTTGTAATCCTAAGCTACCAAAGTTGGGTATACGTTCTTGTTTACACACTCATTACCTTTAAACGTAAATTATTCTAGGACCGGGCTTCCCCGGTGATGAACGGAAAATACCTCCAAGTATTGTAATGCCATGATATTTGCTTAGTTTGTTTCGACATGTTCCTTATTGGCATATGATTATACATATAATCAAATCGTGTTTCTGAGGATTTCAAGATTAACTTAAACATGATGAATATAAAAATGTAACCACACATTCTGCTGTATAATGTCGCTACATTATCATGTACTTACGGTGGATTGAAATGTGTATAATTGCAGAATCGTGTTGAAGAATGGCCTAAGGATAAAATACAACAAAAAGAGAAGAAAAGGTCATTAAAGCGAATAAGATATGTTAGTACATAGAAGTTAAAGGAAACCTCATCCCAAAATATAAGTGTGTAGCTTTTCTGAAAAAATGAGATGTACTCAAGCCCTTTAGTGTATAATATTCCTTACGAAAATATACAGAAGATATATAAATGAATAATTATATTCTTGGCATGATGCCTTTTAGCATGACATGGGCGCAGCCCATTTTCTTGAAAATGTGACTAACCAGTTAAAGCTACATACTTGTATCATGTACCAAGCCTGCACTTAAAGATACTATGTCCCTTTTGCACCGAACAAAAATTCTGTAGAACTTTGCAGGAATCACGAATATGTCTGTGAAATTTAAACGTTAGCAGACTATGCAAGGAAACCTGTTTACTTGCTAGACTTTACTGTCAGACATTATTGAGTGAGTGACTGGCTGTTCTTCTTCTTTGGTAATAACATGCATAAAATGAGCTCTAAAGGTATAATGAGCAATTTGTCTTCATCAATAACCCACTTCTTGTCCAAAATTAAACTGATTGAATCTTTGAGCAGCCTAAAATATACGACCATTCGGTACAATGGTCTGAAAATCAGACTATTACTTACTGGCTCTAAAGCTCTTAAGTCGATTCAACAACTAATAGTCGTTATTTTTCCACTTAAAGACATTTTCAAGCCCCCTTGTTTTTAGGAAAGTTCTTCTTTCAAATGCTGTTGGAATTTAACCATTTCATTTTTGGCCTGCAAATGGGACATAGTACCTTTAAGTGAGTTGGAAAGACTTTTTCAATTAATAACAAATACCTTAATTTTCAACGAGAAACATCAAAGATGAAAAGATAAAATTCATATTAAATTTTGGTGAAATATATATATATATATATATATATATAACCAGTGGCGTACGAAGGATTTTTTCAAGGGGGGGGGGGGAGTAAACAGTTTTAAATCGGGCCGGAATTTTTGCAACGACTCAGCCAGTCGCTGAATAAGTGGGAGGGGGGGGGGGTAAGAGCACATTTTTGTTTTTTTTATTTTGGTTCCAAAAAATTCGCAACGACTCAGGGGGGGGGGGGGTAAGGTCACTTTTTGGGGGTCACCCTTTGGTAGAAAAATATATATGTATGTTTAAAAAAAAACTTATTTCTTAATTTATTTTTGTTTATTATTAAAAAAAAACTTATTTCTTAAACAAGAATTTCCTAAACAAAAGAAATCACGCACATAACAAAAATTGAGGGGAGGGGGTTTCAACACCCCCCCCCCCCCCCCCCCGCTGCGTACGCGCCTGTATATAACAAGGGATTTATTATTGTAACTTATTCATTGAAAAATAATAAAATGTAGTACAGTCGAACGTGTCTATAGCGACCCCCCCCCCCCCCGTAGAAAAAAAATGCCCCTGCGCATTGAAATTCGTCATCCTTTGTTATAAAACAACGAAATTCCCATACCAACAATCTTTGGTACAAGCTCGCTGATTGGTTGTTTATTCACTTGGGACGTCATTGAGAACGCCCGTAGATTTGTTCTTAAACCGTTCTGGATTTCAGTACCTCAGCGGTCACCCAACTGTTACTATACCGAGTGAGTCAAAAAAAAAGTTTACACCTAAAAACTGATAATTATTTAAAAATCATCTATGAACAGTAAATTATTATACATCTTATAAAAGGGTGTTTTATCCCAAATCATTTGGTGTCATTTTTGTGTGGTATGTGTTCACGCTTGGATGAACAGGAGACATTGTTTGCGAGAGTGCAAAATCGACTTCCGCCAAAGTGATGCCTACAGTATGTATTATGCTGGGATTAGCGGAGTGAGAAAATGAATTGAATGTATCAAATGAAATGAATTGCATATTCTTTTTGAAAGGGCAAAGTCACACACACCCACACACACGCGCACAAATGTTCGTAGATATTTGATATTCGATATGTGATATGTGTGGCATGATTAATTTTGTAAGGAATGTTATTTGAAATTGCAAAGACCGAATTAATACCCAAATCCCAATTGTTATATTCAAACATCACATAAGCAACTTTGGCGCAAGTCGATTTTTGCACTCTCGCAAACAATGCCTCCTGTTCCTCGAGGCGTGAACACACACCACACAAAAATGGTACCAAATGATTTGGGATCAAACATTCTTTCATAAGATATATAACAATTTTATGTTTATCGATGATTTTTTTAATAATTAGCAATTTTGTAGGTGTAAACTTTTTTGGACTCACACTGTAGTAGCTTCTCAATTTTGCGCACGCACCCAGGCGCGTACGCAGGAGGGGGGGGGGGGGTTATGCCAATGGCCGACCTTAAAAAAAATGACCACACCCCCCCCCCCCCCCCCCCCCCCCCCCCCCCTATGGAGCAAAATATCAAATTTTCAAATTTCGATACCAAAAAAGAACTGGCAAAAACCAATATTTGCAGTTTGGATTCTGTTTGAAATACTATTATTCTTATCAGGTGAATGAAATAGTTTGTATCGAGGCACTTCACAAAGACGTATGTATTACATTTGGTTACATTAGAAAATTGCCTATTATTGGCATTGCATTGCAATACCTCCGTAATATACGTACGCGTTCACCGAAAAGCGAAACCGCGTATTCTATCGAGGGCGGTCTATCCCCCCCCCCCCCCCCCGTTCCCCAACATAAAACAATCTTCTGTGTGCCCATGCCTTGGGCCATAATGCATGGGCGTACAGAGGATTTTGTTATGTTGAGGACCGGGGTAAAAATTCAATGAATTATTGAACATTTATTGCATTTTTTTATTTTTTTTTATTTGTGGGAACTGCCCCCTATCCTAGCCCCCGCTGCGTACAGTCATGGTTCAGTGTCAAAGCAATGGCCTCGTAACTGTATTATTCAATAAAATCTGAGAATGTATACTATTATCTAGATCTATTAGGAATAAATAATGTCAAAATAATTCCATAAATTGGGGTAAAAAAATATTCCAACTATATGAGCGACAGTGTAGTAAGAAGATTGTATGACCAGGGAGCTGTAATACAAGGAGTGGAAACTCAAACGCATGCGTGGGTTCTAAAGCGTAACAATGGGATGCGTAACATTCCACTTGGCTCTGAGGTTCCATGCTTCGAGCCGCTCTTTCACTGCGGGGAAATTCGGAGGCCAGGCACCAGTTTCACATTTATAAAATTACCGGCAAAAATTCAGTGTAAATTATAAATTCTATATGGTGATTGTATTGTGAATAATGCATCAAACAATTTTTCAAATTTAGGACTCCGTCCTTCCTATAATTTGTGTGCCAAAGTTGGTAAAAGAAAAATTAGATCCTGACGAAACCTCAATACTTTAGGATAGTCCGATTATTTGTGCGAGTTTTAATGTCCAGTCATTTAATCCATGAGTTACAATCTTCGATAACTTTAAGTTTACTAATGCGTGCTTTCGCGTGCTTTTTGTATTTTGCAGTTGGCCAAACAATTATGAAACTACAAAAGTTTGTTTTTGCTTGTTCAACTCCCTACACATTCAAAAATTGATGAGAATTCATTGAAACGGACAACGAACATTTGCTGAGATACGATTTTCTGATGTAGGAATTCTAAATCCTGATATTTCATTTGCTTTTTTATCTCACCACCTGCCCAACAGTTGCTAAGTAGCGCATAATATTTTGGCGGCTTGGAGCATGGGGTCAGGGGCGGCGATTTCTTTTCATGACCGGGGGGGGGGGATGCGAGGGAGCATAGGGAACGAGAGGGGCGAAGATGACGGAAGTTACTACCCCTTTACAGGTTGTTGAAGTTGTGTTGTATTAAAAAAATTACATTCCTTATCAAAACTATAGTATAAAACGAAATACAGATTTTCTACAATATTTACTCGTATATTTTTAATGATATTATGCGAGTGAGCGTAGCGACCGAGCAAGAAGATTTTTGCATTTTTATTAGTCTAAACGCTGCACTCCTAGGCCATCCAGAGCCTAAAAGTGTGTTGCAGTCTTTAGTCAGTATTTGCTTTACATTTTTGGGGGGCACTTTTTCAAATTTTCCGTGGGGGGGGGGTGATCCCCCTAAACAAAATTGAGGGAGACGTGTCCCCCTCCGTTCCCAGGGATTGCCGCCCCTGCATGGGGTCAAAGGAGAGCGGCTTGAGTCCACTCCTTGTATGACAGCTCCCTCGTATGACTTACAAATAGTAAAATTGTATTCGCCGTTAACGGTACTATAGTAGGCATAATATTAATAGACCTTCGTAACAAGTGTAAACATTCAAATTTGTATGAAAAGTACTTAAACAAATTAACAACAACACAACAACAATGAGAATGATAACATTAATAAAACAATGATAACATTAAAACAACAATAACACAACAACATTTACAACCGTTAATGATACAGGCATGCCACATTAACATTTATGGAGGAGATGATAAAACATTAAACATGCAAACGTTCTTTAAAGGCAGCTTTTGTCAAACATAATAATTCTATCCGCTCCGGTAAGACAAACATTCACATTACAAATATGGGCATGGATTAATTTTTCGTCATGAGTAATTTAAGAGACAGAGACATACAATCAATTTCCACTGACATAAAGCAACCGCGACTATAAAGTAGGCTTAAAATAGACTTGACCATGAGAGGAGGCCAATATACGGCCTTGGTACCCGGAGTAAACGGGCATAATGTTATGATAAACATCGTTAAAACTAACTACTACAAACATCAACAAAAACAACCACAGCAACAATATTTAGGAGTTAAGAGTTTTAAATGATGCCGACATGACTGTAACATATTATACAGACCGTTATTAGTCAACGTTTGTTTTTAAATTGATCTTTATCGGCATCATTTTGCGAAGAAATGAGCTCATGAAAGTTCTATCTGATTTGATGTATAAAATTAATACAAATCTCAAGTACATTTTCAGTCATGAGGCTTTTAAAACAAAGAGACAGTCAAACGATCATGTTATATTGACACACAATAAACGTGATAGGAAGATGAGGGTTGGGCGCCATGACAGGTTCACACATAGCTTCATTACTATTCTGGCTGTGTATTCAAAGCTGTTTTGTTGATTCTCAACATTTCAAACACCACTGTACAAAACTCAACTGATTTCAGTCAAAATCGGTACTTTAGTGACAATTGATGACACCTAAATAGCAGTAAGATACAATTTTTTCAACTTACCGATGTTAGGGAGAATAATTAAAAAAATCAAATCGTGAGTCTACTATCAATCTTGCCGATCAGCCACATCGTATTCATCGTGTGCATTTGTGTGTATTGTGTACCGTATATTGACTAGTCTGTCCTATAATCTCGCATATTATTTCGTCTGTCATCCCTCTTGACTCCCAATACACACAAATAACACAATAATACACTTCAATTATTGTGGAATAGCCTGACAACGACTTTTTCATACCATGTTCTTATTCTATAAATCAAAAACAAAATTCAGAGTTAAAACCATTAATGAGTTAGATGGCCCCTGCATGTTAAATAAACCGTGTTAAATAATCTTAAAAAAACAAAATGAACATGAAAACGATTTCTACAAACTAAGGCAACGTTTGACGAAGAAAATCTATGACACCAACACCTCCAGCCAATATACAATAACAATCACTCACTATTAGCTAGAAATTACATACCCAAACATAAACTCGCATTATTTCTAATGATACGGAAATGGAAAATATAACCGAGCGCATATCTACTGTTCATATTAAACCATAATATTGTTAGACATAAAACATAGTTAAAGAATGACCACAAATATGAGAAAGACAAGGAAGGTGGTGTTGACTTACGAAATTCTGTGAGACAAGTCTGCAGATCCAGTGAAGGCTGTTGGTATTTATACCAGATAATGATCAAAGACGCTCGCATTGAACATGACCATTGAACTATATCAAACTCAATGGATTAGCTTGTCATCTTGACCAGTAACGTGGAGTTCTATTCTTATCAACCTTGTCCATCGCCAGCTCTCTGAAAAACGGCTTTGTTATGTTAGAAGTAATCATTGTCCCCGTCAACTCTGGCAAGTTCGTAGCCGTCCACGTCTCAAACTGACGAAGAAAAGCTCCAAGCCTGCAACAAAGCATTGGCAATGTTTTACACTCAGGATAAAGGGGAAACATTCTGGGTCAATTATCATGCAAATCTGCTGAAATAGTCATTTATTTGTCATCCCTCTTGGCAATAGATGCTTTCAATTAGTATATGCTGTAAAGTCAGCCGTTAATCCATCTCCCTGATCAGGGTTTAGGTGCCCATTCAATCCTCCAACATCATGCTTTGTAGCTTATACAGTTTCTTATACATACAACAACATTTGTGAACTTTCTTTCTGCATGATTATGCAACAATAAATATACAGTAATGTTCATTTTTGATTCATGGAAAATGGGGATTTCACCGGCCAAGCATCAGAGTTGATGAGGAGAAAGAGACACTGTATTAAAATGCAAAATCAAGAAAATTGTTAAAGTTGTGACCCCCCTCCACTAAATCGCGACAAAGAGAGAGAGAGAGAGAGAGAGAGAGAGAGAAGGAGGGAGACTGGAGAGAGAAGGGGGGGGGTAGTAAACCCTCCCATAACACAAGTATAAATCTTCCCATTAACGGTGTACGTGGCCCTTGGTAATTCGAATTTCAGTTCCGCGCCCCCCCCCCTTCCTTCCCCCTAACAGTTCCCAATAAATGGCTGGACCGAGGCTACACTCTTTGATACCTGGTTAGGGTTACATAACATGTAATGGGGGTCTCGGGGCCATTTGTATTCCATTCAACGGTGAACACCCCCCCCCCCCCATCAAACCGCCAGTGTCCCTTAAATGACGGGGCCCAAATCACGGCACTGGATTTTAAGTTGTGTTTGAATAATTATTTAAAATTTGGGAGCCTTTACCTTATGAAAAGACACTTTAAGTGTAAACAAGATAACACATAATGTGCAAATGATGGTCTGAGGTTTTAACAGCACAGGAATATTGTTTGAAACCAGCTATATTCTTGATTTTATCAAGTTTGGTCAAAATAAAACAGTTATATTATTAGGAGTGTATAAAATGAGAACAGAAAAATATTTATCGTGCTTGGTTAAATATAAGTGCAATGTTGCCATGCCATAATCAGCATTATGGTAATAGTTAATAGCCTTTTAGAAAGTGAGCGCACGGAATTGAGGAATTTCTTGTCAAGTTAATAATTTTATTGGGGTAGTAGGTTCAGTGTATGGCTTCATATCGTGGAGGTGTTGTGGTATAATGGTTCATTAACTTGACTCTCAATGCAAAGTTTGAGGTTCAAATCCCAGCGCAGCACTAATGTCATTTGGCAAGATGTTTTGCGACTCTCCACCTGGTACGTACCTGGCAACTGGCCTTATCTTAATTACAGGGCCTTCAGGAAGAACAATGTTGATGCTGATGATGGTTCACTGGGCAAACAAATTATCATAATTTATGATTATTATTATTGTTATTATCATTATATTTTATTGCTGCTATTATTATAATTATTACTATAATCATTGTTACTAATGTGCCTCTTGATTTAACTTTAGTATTCGGGTTCTATCTATAATATAATATTTAATAGAATTTCACCAACTTTCTGTTACATTGTTTATGTACGTTTGAGACATTCGGAATGAAGTACATTCATTTCGTGTCTGCATTGCAAACTTTCTGTAAGTTTTGTGGTAAGGTACCCTTGAACTTAGTTGCATGCGACAGGGAAGGTATATACTTTGTGGTTTTCAAAGCATTGCGAAGATGAAACCTTATTAATTGACTTCAGGAGAAAAAAATAAGCTAGGAATGACCTTCATTTATATCCCCCCTTTTCACTTTTTACTCTATTAAATATCATAATATGTGCAATCAGGTGGTGCAACATGAAAACAACTAGTAAATGATCCGCATCCATGGCGAGCTGCGTCAACTTAGTGGAGTAATAGTGTGACGAACACACAGACAATGAACGGACGAGTCCATTGTGATCTCGAAGGGTAATGAGTCTTAAAATAATGTTTCATTGATGAGGAACGAGGCACGAGCACTGGTGTAGGGTAGTTTGCAGGCACAAACCTTGGTCAGTCGTAAAAGAGAGTCTGCACTATAAGACTAGCATAGGCCATGTACTATAGCTGCTCCTGATATTGACATGTACACTGTTGGTCATAATGGTGGAATATTTATTTTTACCCCAGTTTAGGGAAGGATTTTAAAAAATAAATTATTTCTAATAGATCTAGATAATGGCATACATTCTCAGATTTTATTGGATATTAATTTGCGAGTGTTTGTTTTGCGTGACTGCTTAATCATATGTGTGCTACTATGCTAATCAGCTAAGGGACCTACGTCCTTAAGTCATAATTGACAGTAATGAGGATTAATGCCTCACAAAAGGGCACTAATATATAGCTGATCGACACGATTTTTATCCTGTGGCCTCACAGTAACGAGGCCATTGCTTAGCCCCTGAATAATGACTGTGCGCAGTGTTTGCTAGGGTACGCGGCCCCTTCCACAAATCCCCCAAAACGAAGAAAATGCAATAAATTGTCAAAAATTTATTACATTTTCCCCCGGCCCCCAACAGGAAAAATTCCTCTGTAGGGCCATGCATTATGGTTCGAGGCATGGCCACACAGAGGAATTTTTCCTGTTGGGGGCCGGGGGAAAATGCAATGAATTTTTGACAATTTATTGCATTTTCTTCGTTTTGGGGGATTTGTGGAAGGGGCCGCGTACCCTAGCAAACACTGCGTACAGTCATGATTCAGGGGCTAAGCAATGGCCTCGTTACTGTGAGGCCCCAGGATAAAAATCGTGTCGATCAGCTATATAAATTCCCTTTTGTGAGGCATTAATCCTCATTACTGTCCATTATGATTTAAGGACGTAGGTTCCCTAGCTGATTAGCACAGTAACACAAATATGATTTAGTAGTCACGCAAAACAAACACTCGCAAATTAATATTCAATAAAATCTGGGAATGTATGCCATTATCTAGATCTATTAGAAATAAATGACTTTTTAAAATCCCTCCCTAAACTGGGGTAAAAATAAATATTCCACCATTATGACCAACAGTGTATTTTCTTTCTTCTTCTTGATTTGATTTTGTTTGGCAATCAGTCACAGTTGACTATTTTTGCCACACACTATTTTATGAATTATTTATATATATGCATATGTACAATTTCATGTCATAAATGACTATTATTAGGATTTATTTCTCTTTCCATCCCCTTTCCTTCTGCTTATTTTCTTTTATATTTTTGTTTTTGTTTTCAATAAATTAATAATTTTGGAAAGAGATGACCTAGCAAGTTGTACGTACTTGTGTTTACGCGCACATGCGCGCTCAAATATCACCCACACCCTTTTCAAAATGCCATCTTACCAGTCTTTGAGGTACATTTCGCAGACTTTCGGTTTTAACCTAGGTCACTCCGGCATAGGTGAGGGGGTGCCAGCTGGCATGTGATGCTGGAGGCGACCACCGAATTGTTAGAAATTTAAATGGTCAAATTAGTTACAAGTATTGTGGGCTTTATTGGTGCAAGAAAAAGGAAAAGAGAAGATAAGAAAGAAAAAAAAAATTAATTGTTTTGATACTGCCGCTTTGTTCTTCAAACGAAGCGAACTATTGCTTTTTGTTTAATTATTTCTGAAATGTTAAGTAGTGTCATGATTTAACATAGCTCTTTCTATAATGTACTTTGGGCATTCAGTGAGAAAGTGGTATACAGTTTCAATATGTCCTATGCAGTTATTGCAATGGCCTGTCGAGTGTATATTCAATCTGAAGAGATCTAAGTTCAAACCTATCACTCCTATTCTTAATCTATGGAGAATACTTTCTTCAAATCGGTTCAGCTTACATAAATATGGTTGATTTACTGTAGGCAGTATCTGTCTAAAAAAAACTATCAGAATTATTTCATCTGTCTTGCCAGAGTTTTATATACTTGCTGGTAATAATACTCTTTATTTCAGAAAAGGATAATTTATTACAAATTTCAATGTTATTGGCGTGAGGTCCAGGGGGCCGAGAACCCAGGAGCTCAGGGGTTTAAAGTATATTTTGCATAAAAATCTGCCATTTCATTTCCGTGTACACCACAATGGCTAGGAATCCATTCTAAATGTATGTGTTTTCCTTGATACGATAATTTTGTACTTAATGTAATAATTTCAGTTACAAATGTAATAGCTTTTTCATCCTTTATAGCGAGCAGGGCGCTTATGGAGTCACAAAAAAATAACAATGCCAACATACACATTAAGGTTCTCTAGCCAATTAAGCGCAAGGAGAATTGCAGCCAGTTCGGCTCTAAAAGATGATGTGTGATCCGCCAATCGTTTTGCTTGTTGAAAGGAAAAGGCTGGTACATAAAAAGAAGCAGAACTTATTCCAAGATTTGGAACCTTTGACCCATCTGTATAGATGTGTAGTTGTATTGGCCATTTGGTACTGATCAATTCTAAACTGCGTTGAAGTAAATGAAATGGGTTTTCATGTTTGTTCACTATTTCGCTTAATTCTATCGACACGTTTGGAGCATTAATTTTCCAAGGGGGGGGGGGGACTAGATATAGTGAAGGGTTCGATAGTATACAATGTTTGATAAGTTCTGTTCTGCATCCAAATTGCTTGTTATTCTATTGGAGCTTCAAAAGTTCCATTTGCCAGCTGGGCTTAACGTTTAATATGACAGGGTGATCTCGATGCATTTCAATCTTTTGTCTGAATCTGTCTGCCAGTAGGTATCAGTAGGCAGCTGGGCTTGGCTTCTCTCAAGGCACAATAATTTTTTGATAAAGTGTCAAATTAGGGTCTGTGCTTGCAGAATAGGTGTAGGGTGGGGAGAGGGCATGGGGGCTGCACCACCAAAAAACTTTGAAATTTGCCCCTACTTACGAATAGGCCATTTTCGTCCC